TGCACTCCAGTCTGGGCGACAGAGTGAGACTCCAACTCAAAAAAAAACCCAAAAAACAAAAAACTTCTGATGTCTTCTTGTGTTGATTTATTTGCAAATGAGAGTACTTTGTGTGAACAGATTTTTCATGTCTTCTGGTCTTGTGTGATGTTTGTCGTTTGTGTCAACTTTTCCCCACGCTTTTCTCTTTTACTTAGACAAAAATGGGACCCCCTGCAAAGTGTCATTGACTAGGAAGCTTTGGGGAGAGATCTGACATAGATACTGGACAGAAAGACATCTGGAGCAGGCTTGAGCAGCTTCTTTCTGGCCCAGGTGTAGGCTCAAAATCTTCTGTTCCGTTCATCTTGGTTTTACCTCACAAGTTTTTGGTCAACGTGGTCTGTCTCTGATGAATTTTGAGAGAATCGATTTTTGAATCAGAGATTTTATATTTAGCCAACTTACCTTTCTCATATATAGGCAAGAAAAAAATTATAGTAAGATGTGCAGTTACACATCTCATGTTCTGTCAATAAAAGAAGACTATTTTCAATTCACACCATACCAAGAAAAAAAAAGGCTGGGTGTGATGCTCATGCCTGTAATCCCAACACTTTGAGAGACCAAAGGGGGAGGATCACTTGAGCACAGGAGTTCAATACCAGCCTGGATGACAAAATGAGATTCCCATATTTACAAAATAAAAATAAAAATGATCTGGGTGCAGTGGTGTGTGTCTGTAGTCACAACTACTCGGGGGGCTGAGACAGGAGAATTGCTTGAGTTCAGGAGCTTGAGGTTTCAGAGAGCTATGGTCATGTCACTTGTACTCCAGACTGGATGACAGAGTGAGCCTCTGTCTTTTTTTTTTTTGAGTTGGAGTCTCACTCTGTTACCCAGACTGGAGTGCAGCGGCCGCTCCCGGCCACCGCAGCCTGCCTGCTGGGCTCCGGTGATCCTTCTACCCTAGACTTCCGAGTAGCTGGAACTACAGGCACGTGCTACCACACTCAGCTAATTTTTTTTTATTTATTGTAGAGATGAGGTCTCGCCAAGTTGCCCAGGAGGGTCTCAAACCCGCGGGCTCAGGCAATCCACTCACCTCCCCCTCCCAGAGTGTGGGATTACTGGCTGAGTCACAGAGCCCAGTTAGATTTTTTTTAAAAAATAGAATTCTGGCAAGGAAAACTTTCATAAGCAAGACTCACAAGCAAAAATAATAAAACAAAAGATAGCATATGCACACAATTACAATTGCAGTATGACAACATATATATAACCAAGTTAAGATGAAACTAAAGACTAAGTGAAAACAATTGTCCCATATATAAGAATATATATATTGCATGTGTAATTATATAGGTATAATACAAATAGCCTATAAGGCAACAGAAAAAAACAACAAAATTGTACAACACAAATTAAGAAATAAATTCCAGTTTAAGAAACAGAAATTACTTATAAAAGTATTGAAAGATATTTAATGTTATTAGGAAGGTGCAAATAAAAACAAGATACCATTTTGTTTTCCATCAATTCATTGGCTAAGACGTATCAAAGATTGATAGTAGCTAGTATTAGCAAGAGTGTGGAAGGAAAGGTAACTTTTGAGGTGAAATTGTCAGCAATAATCAAAGTATAAATCTTTCCCTTCCTTTGGCCTTGGGTATTGCTACTGGCATTGATTGGGCTGCTCCCATTAATTAGGCTACTCCACTGGCCATCATTCTGTTAGACAGACCTATTATGGTTCCAATTTTTCCCAGAAGACTGAAATCCCTGAGCTCTACTAACATAACCTCTTCCTTTGTCCTTACTGCTTAAGGATGCTAGTGGCTTCCTATTGATGCTAATCTCTAGATTACCTCTTTGTTTCTGCTTGGCTTTTTACCTCTCCCATCATCTGTGTAAGTCATCATTTGTATTAAATTTCCTCCACTTTATATACTTAAAATAATGTTGTGTTCCTGACTGAAACACACACCCACACCCACGACACACATATCTGCAGCAAATAAAAATAAACAAAACTAACAAGTGCTATATTTGTATAACTGTATGCTGAGTGGAAGAAGGCTCCTGGTAAGTTATTGCCTCCAAAAGGGCAAATTGGTGTATCTCATGTTTAATAGGATCTCCATACAAAAAAAACAAACCACATGTGAATATGTAAATATGTTTATATGGTAGTAATGTTAGCCAGTTCCTTTGTAGGAAAAAACAAGGATGACAAAATACCCATTCACAGGAAAGATTATCCCTGTGAAATTGAATGGAGGGATGTGTGAGTTTTGAGGAGAAGGGACGCTGTCACTTTTACTTTTATGTACAACTATGTTGTCTGAATTTTTTTTCTTGTCGTATCATATTTGTTATTTCAAAAAAAATTGCAAGCAAGTAGCAAAATACTCTGCCTAATATGATCATTATATCAATAGGTATTTATTTGTAATGGAAATCATCTGAAAGTACAGTCAATTCTGCTACAACACTTGTTTTGAAATGAAAATTTGTTCCAGCGTGATTGATATACTAGAAAACAGTTTGAGTATACCACCTTTTGCTTTCGTGTGATTTTGTCAGGGATGAACAGCAGGTGAACTTTAAAAATGACACCAAATTCAACTGAAAAACTGAAAGGCATACATAAAATACACACACACACCCTTAAGTCGGCATCCCTGTATCACCTACGTCGTGTAAGCCATGACATTCTCACATGGTGTTAGGACCTTCTGCCTGATTTCTGATAACTCTTCTTCCAACACTCTATAAAAACTCACAATCTGCAAATCCTTCAGTACCTCCTTGCAAACAAAGTTCAGGTCTTGTTCAAGGTAAAAAACCATATTTTTTTCTAGTATTTATGTCTTAACCATGTAACATGCATGAAATCATGTTACCATTTTTATTAGACTCTGATCCTTTTTTTCCTTGTGGATCATTATCAAGTTTTTGAGCATTTTACCCTCATCTCCTTTTTCTCATAAGTCCTGTGGTTTTTATTGCACAATTGTGCATAGTATAGTAATTTTTAGGAGTACATGTATCACATTATAGGAGAACTGATTATATGTATGCCAAAATGTCAACATCTCCAGGTAGTAATTTATTTGTTGTTTATCTATAGTTTCTATTTTCTTCTAAAATGAATATGTATTGTTAATCAAATCTATGTAAAATTTGTTTAAAAGATGATATGGTAAAGGAGGATCACAGCTACTCTAGGTCAAAGGCTGAGGCTCTTCTGGAAAACTCCACACATTCACTGGTGATCCAATCAATAAAGTGCCCTCTAGTCCACTTAGAGGGTACAGACACGCCCTTTCTGGCAAACAGAGATAAGGTCTCACGGCAACATCTTGGCAGCTTCTTCAGTTAGAAAGTCCCCGTAAGTGCTAGGAAGAATGGAGAAGACGTGACTAGTCAAGTTTCCATTAAACAAAATAGATTGTGTAATAAGCCAAATGCCCCTCAACTGGTTTGTAAACATTCAGAAGTTGAACTGATTTGAATCCAGAAATACAGGATAGACAATAACAGGTCTGATAGTCAGTGCTTACTGAATTTCAAGCTATTATTAAGCAGCGCCCCCTGTCCCTTCAGCAAATAGGATTCTTTGAGGAGACAGCAGACTTGAACACATTGTGAGTTTCAAAATGAGAAAGAAAAAAATATTTCTTTAATGTGATTTTACTCTTGAACGTGCCCCTTTTGCAGAGTGAATGTACACCTGTTTTATCACTGTTTTCTTACTCTTGCCTTCCAAGGCAGTGTCATGACTTCTTTTCTTTCTCTAGTGATAAGCCACTCCAGCTACAGTCAAACTGCACTGCGTGTTTGTGATGTGGGTCTGAGTGCTCCTTTCCTTCCCCCAAGTGCCTGTTTCTGGGACAGCGCCCACTGAACTCTGAGCTTGTTCTTGATCTTTGTATTTTCCTGTCTCGCTGGACAGAATCTGCCGTTGGCTGTGCTTTCTGTGGAGCTTTGTTCCTAACTGTTCTCTCACAAAGAGCTTGTTCTTGTTCGTCCTCTTTGTCTGGCCTCTGGCTTCAACCACTGAATCGCAAATATTCTCCAGCTGGGAATCAGACGAAGGCAGAAATGAAGAACCCAGAGGCCCAACAGGATGTTTCGGTTTCCCAGGGAGTTCGCATGATGTTTTACATGATGAGGCCCAATGAAACTTCATTCCAAACCTTAGAAGAGGTGCCCGATTATGTACAAAAGGTGAGGCTCTGTTGGAAGAGGCTATTCTTGCTCTTTTCTTAATAAGAAGGAAGGCCAGTATATCTCGGGGTTTTGTTCACTTTCACGATCCAAATTATTAAATACTAATAAGAATAATTTGCCTTCTTAAAGGTATGAAACAAAAGTAGAATTTCTACTTGAAAAGAATTTCCATATAATATCCACAGCCATCTTCATCTATTAGCTCCCACCTTTATATGTCTCTCCAGAATATGATAAAAATTCAAAAATGTTTTGGGGACACTATGGCATTATAAATTTAGCTGCTGGAAGCTCCATGTAAAATAGTTATATCATATCAGTAAACTTTGTAACAATTTTTTAAAAAAATCTTTATATGTCCACCACCCCCAGGGAAACTATTTCCTGTTTAATTTGTTAGAGTTGTTCTGCAGAATGAAGGCGACTCAGCTTGACTGAGTCAAAACTCTGACTTCCTAAGGTTGAACTTGAACCAAGTTTTCTTTGAAACTCTGAAGTGCTCAGAAGCACTTTTCACTTCTGATTCCTGGCTATGACTGGAAGTGGAAATATCCACAATTAGAACTTGAATACTGAAGTTCCCCACCCTGTCAAAGTTGTTCCTACAACACTTACTAGTTCAGGCCAGAAATAGAAAAAAAAAAAATGGCATCAGAGAATATGTTCCTGGGAGTACAGCTTCCAAACTTATGTTTAGCTTTCAAATGAGTAAAAGCCATATCATTTCAAAGACTGAATATTGCTTTTTCTTTCTGATATATATATATATATATTTTTTTTTTTGGTCAGGGTCTCACTCTGTTATCCAGGTTGGAGTGTTGTGGCATGATCACAGCTTACTGCAGCCTCGACCTTCTGGGCTTAAGTGACCTTTCTGCCTCAGCCTCCTGAGTAACTGGGACTACAGGGACATGCCACCACACGTGGCTAATATTTTTTTGGTAGAGATAAGGTCTTACTTTGTTGCTGGTCTAGGCTGATCTGAAACTCCTAGGCTCAAGCAGTCCTTCACCTCGGCCTCTCAAAGTGCTGAGATTGCAGGTATGAACCACTGTGCCCAGTCTTATTTCTGATTTTTTAAAGAAAAAGTATGGTACTCATATCGTCATAAATCATTATTATTTATATTGTAACACAGAACCTAATTCAATGCCTACTCACTGATAGCACAGCATTAAGAATATCTTTTATTATATAAGACAAAATCAAAACTGAATGAGTAAAACTTGAACAGAGTTTTAAACAAACGTGTAAAATTACCTTATTCTTGAAAATTCTATGAAAAAAATGTTCCTACTGTTTCAACTTTATCATTAGAAGTAGCTATGGAAATTCTAATATAAAAAATTAAAATTGGCCGGGCTTGGTGGCTCAGCCTGTAATCCCAGCGCTTTGGGAGGCCGAGGTGAGTGGATTGCCTGAGCCCACGGTTTCGAGACTCGCCTTGACAACTTGACGAGACCTCATCTCTATAGTGAATTAAAAAAAAAAAAAATTAGCCAGGCGTGGTAGCGTGTGCCTGTAGTTCCAGCTACATGGAAGGTTGAGGTGGAAGGATTGCTAGAGCCCAGCAGGTCGAGGCTGTGGTGGTCGGGAACGTGCCACTGCACTCCAGTCTGGGCGACAGAGTGAGACTCCAACTCAAAAAAAAAAAAAAAAATTAAAATTGAGTGCATCCTTGAGGAAATTCTCTTCTAGTGGGTTTAGCTTATCATATGCAGATGATAGACTTCTAATTATTTAACTTATTCTAAATGTATTTTTTGGATCTAATTTGGAACATGTTCCTCCTAATCTTACAATTTTCTTGGCACAATTATGATGGTTTTCTGTATGATTATATTTCATTTTCAAACTGGATGATAGAATTTGAGTACATATTTAGTGTATGTCCAAAGTAGTTAGACTTCTGGGTTTTGTGTGATAGTTCATGCCTGTAATCCCAGTACTTTGGGAGGCAGATGCCAGAGGATTGCTTGAGCCCAGGAATTTGAGACCAGCCTGGGCAACATAGTGAGACCTCATCTCTACAAAAACAAAAAATGAATGGGGCATGGTGACATGCTAGCTACTCAGATGGTTGTGGCAGAAGGCTCACCTGAGGTCACTGCACTCCACCCTGGGCGACAGAGTGAGACCTCGAATCAAATGAAATGAAATGAAATAAGTTAAAATAATTAGACCTCTTTGTCTACTATGTAGGAAGTGATCCTCGAGATAGGTGTGGGCTTCCCAATTCTGGGCCTCCCTATTCTGAAATGACAATTCAGGAAATGTAAAAGAGTTTCCCATGGGCCATGATAGCATCTCCTCTGCAACTTCCTTTGCAGGCAACTCCATTTTTCATTTCCTTGATGCTGCTTGAACTGATTGTCAGCTGGATTCGCAAAGGGAAACCACCGGGTCGCTTGGATGATGCCTTAACATCAATATCAGCTGGTGTTCTGTCTCGGCTTCCAAGGTGATTTAGATGGCTAGCATGCTGAGTGAGAAAATGGAAAGTCTCCAAGTATGAGGGGCAAAGGAACCCATTGTATTGGGGAATTTGTGTATTTACGCATATATTGCCAAAGAATTCAGTTCCTGACATTACTTAAAGTTTAGATATTTTTTTTCATTATTGATCTTTTTACATTCATTAAAAAAAAACACCCTAGAAATTATCTATCTTGATTACTCAATTTGTTGGAACCTTATTAAATTTTTTATTTGAGGTGAGTGCTTCACTTACCTTATCATGGTCCCAGCCCTGAGTTTTGGCTTAGTTATGAGAGGGAACCCAAAAAGCCCCAGAATTTATTTATAAAAATTGTGTATATATTCTTGCATGTTTAAATTTCAGTCACTTTCAAAGTACCCTCCATTTGACGCAATATACCTATTGAGATGCTTTTTCACTGCTCAAAACAGTTTTTTAGCTCTTCAGTTTTAATGCTTTTTAGTGTGTCTGCCGTTTTTTGTTTCACCCCTTCCACATTAGCAAAATGTTTCCCTCTGAGGACTTTTTTCATCTGGAGAAACAATAGCAAAAAAAGTAATTTGGGGTGAGATGGAGTATATAGGGAGGGTGGGTCGTGGAGGTCATGCCATTGGTGATCAAAAACTGCTGAACACTCAGCTTGGTGTGAGCAGGTGTGTTCGTAAATCATCCATCATGAAATGGGCAAACGTGTTAAAAAGAATCTCCAAAAATAATTCACTGAAGCCAAATGCAGCCTCTTATAATGCTAGCTGGTACACTGATGTCCATGGGTTTCTAGAACACTCACTTAGCAGGGAAAGCTTGTACTAAAAAGGACCTGCCCTCCAAAAAATAATTCCGGTTTTTGGGTCCGCCTCGTGACTATCGGAGCTTTATTTTGCCTCTGTCAAATTCATATAGAAAAGTTTTTTGAAATGTTGCAGATGCTCTCCAGAGCAAGTTATACAGATCTCTAAATTACCTCTAAATTACCTCAGTGGTCTCCTAACTGGCATCCTGTATCCAGTTCTACCCCGTTTGCAGTCAAACGTTCCCACAGTATGAATTTGGTGGAATCCCTTCACTGGCTTGATACTGCCTTGAGGATAAGGTACATATTCCTTTCCTAAACTACAGAGGATGCTGTCTCTCTGACCTTGCTTTTGGTCTCTCCACTCTCCTGTCCCTTTGTCATCCTTGTTTTACAACTTACCATCACCACTTGACATAGGTGCTCCTCTGCCTGAAAAACCATGTGTGTGGGCAACTCATTCATTTCTTAGGTCTAAGCATAGGCATCACATTATTCAGGAAGACTTCTCTGTTTTCCAACACTGTGTTAGGTACTACTTCACAACGTTTCCACAGATCTTGTGCTTACCCCAGATATGGAATGATCACAGGGCATGAGGTTCACCAGTTTTCCTCCTTGTCCTTCTTACTAGATTGTACAATACTTGAGAGCAAGTGGTGTGCTTTTATCATAGTTTTTACTCATATGCCTAGAATGATGTCTGGTATATGCAAAATGTTCCAAGATATTTAATATTCTTGTAATGTTATGTTGATGATTAGGTTGGGTGATGCAGAGACCAGATAATATTTAACAGTAAATGACCTACTATTTTTTAGAAAGAGAAAATAATGTGTGCAGAGGAAAGACCAAGGAATTGAAGTCATCTTTAGTACATGAGGATTTACTAAACAAGCAAAACATGAGGGAAGATTCCCTGAGAAGTCTGTGCTTTGAGCTGCTGGTGAATGTTCTCACTCCAGCTTCCCAACCATCACTTCTTATCCTGTTTTAAGAGCTTTACTTCTGACCGGTGCTCACTGCTTTGGAATGTTTCTATAAACCGCCCAGTAGGAAACATTGTGGATTTTTAAAAATGACATTAAAACTTAAAAATATCTAAAACATGTGAAATATTTTTATATAATTGCATAAAATAGTTTAGATAAAGAGTAAGCCTAAAAATGAAAACTCCTTTACAATAAGTGTTGCTTTGGGAAAGGTATTTTATTAGATATATAGCAGTAATAGTAGTAGAAGTAATATTAATAATAATGACTCTGAAAAACTGGTATTGTTGTCCATTGCAATCAAAGTCAGAAGAGGATAATGTCTTCAGTTATTTGCAGCTAATTTCCAGATTATCATAAGTAAGACTTTAAAATTATAGATAATTTTCTCTATTACATATCCCTCTTGCACAGAAATGAACAAGAAATGCATTCAAGATACTCAAGAGATATGTAGATTTCGCTGCAGATTCAGTTTTTGAAAGATACTCAATTCGTGACTGCAGCTCATCTGAGAAAATTAAGTATATAGATTTATATAAATCAGGTGACTGAGAAACTGTAAAAATCACTTGATTACTGAGAAGTGCCCTACAGATACAATCATAGATCCATGTCTTACTGAATTGGAAAGAGTGCATTAAGAAGAACTCAGGGAGACAGCAAAATGAAGGGAGGCCTCAGCATTGCTTTTACTTTTTGAAGTTCTGACTTTGGTTACAAGTGAAATTAGGTTGTTCTCTTATCATAATATTGTAAGTATTAGAAATGCAAATTGTGTCCTCAATACCATATTTCTGCTCAGCAATGTGATTTTTAAAAGATACAAAGTTATAAACAGGAAAACAAGAATAAAGTACATATTTTTTGCAAAAAACACACCTCAAAAAGAAAAGAAAGAGAGAAAGTCAGAGAGACTGTCAGAGAGAGAGAGAGAGAGACAGAGACAGAGAGACAGAGAGGAGAGAGAGGGAGAGAAACCAAGTGAGTGAGAGAGAAACCAAAACAAACCAGTCCTTCAGGGATAGAACATGTAGTTCTTTGCCTTCACCCACTACTCATAACACTCTTAAGCTAACACAAACTGTTAACTCTCATGCCCTTTGAGAGAAAGGTAAAAGGTTATGAACTTGAATTTGGAGAATACTTTTCCAGAATTACTTTCAGTGAGAATGGCAAATTGCTCCTTCTTTTTCCCTTGTAGGTGTGAGGAGCAATTCTAAATTATGAAATGTAGATTTTTTGGTTTGTTTGCAACACATTCCATGTGTCATAGCCTTTTATCTGAACTATGCCAGCAAAGTAAACTATCTGAAAAGAAAATGTTAAAATATTTTCTCTTATTTTCTTGTTATAAAAAATAAAGAACAAAAAAACCCAGGGATAAATAAAAAAGGAATGCTAATCCTCAGAATTGTCCTTACTCAATTTCCTCTCACCAAAAAACAAAACAAAACAAAAAAAACAACAAAAAAAACCAAGAAGGGGAATTTGACTTCAATTCTTAAAACAATATTGCAGTTGAAGCCACAGCATAAAGGGGGAATCCCTGTGCAAATCATTAACAGCTGAAGGTTAGATTAACACGGCATTGATCGTCTCCTCTCCTGGGGACTAATTTCATTTTTTACGCTAGTACCAGGAGTTCGCCATGTCCTTATAATAGGTGATTGCAAGAAAAATGGTAGTCTACCGTTTGCTAATCTGCCTGTAAAAAATTATGCTTTGGTTAATAATTCCAAGCAGGCATATGTTTTCTGAAAAAAAAAGCTGTGGAAATCAAAGAGAACATGGTTTTTTACTTCATCATTCATGTAATGGAAATGTTGTAGGCAGACTTTGAGGAAAAACCATGTTTCTTTGAGGATCTCAATTTCATGATTGCATAAAATTTGAAGTATCTTGAAGGTTAATAGCATACCTACCATATTAATAGAAAAGATGCACACCATGTTTTCAAATCTTTATGTGAGGGAAAATATTAATCTTGAACAAGATTATATCTTGTTTACAAGCCTGTTGGACAGTTCATGATCTTTAATGAAAGTTCGTCTGTCCCAAATGCCAGATTCTGGGCAGGCCTGCATCTGTTTTGCTTTTCTGAAATTCAGTAGCCGGTCTTCTTAGTTAGAAACTGGCTCTGAAGTTGTAAACAGATATGTCTATTTACTATAGTTAAATACAGCATATCACATGCAGATTATCTGCTTTTCAATCGATTACTTGTGTATGTGAGTATAGAAAACTAAATGTGATTCAATACAATAATTGCCAAATCTGTTTTTAAAGAAAACCTATCTAAAACTTGTGAAGTATCCTGCTACCGACTTAAATGTTAACGAGTGAAAAATAATCACGTTTTTTCCCCCGCTTGTTTAAGCAGGACTCGATTTCCAATCCTTCATTAGAAAACCGGGACCTCAATTTGTTACTTCCTTCCAATGTTTCTGCTTCCATAAATTGCATCCTCCCCAGAGAAGTTTTATTCCCGATATAAATATCTACAGTATGTTTGTTTTTAATGGGTTCATTTATTCTGTTGAAACAGCAGATTATAAATCAAATTGCAATAGGTTGGAGGGATAATTTAAGTAAGTAAATTTTCAAATAAAGTTGGGGACACTCTACTTTTTAATACATATGGGTCACTGCCAATTTTTACTAGGGAGCCCGCGCACAGTGTTCAGCCATACATATGTACACTTTTACTGGCCATGCCTGCTATGGAATTTTCCACTCCTGACAAGAAAGTTTCAATTCATCAAAAAATAAAAAAAATTTAAAGAGGAGGAAATTAAACTTCTTTGAAAGACTTTTGACTCCTTGGGGTGGGGCTGGAGAATAAAGGAAAATTGTGTACTGAGTTTTAATACTAGGCTTTAGTATGAGAGGTGATACTGCCTTTGGAAACATCAGACTTCTAACAAATGAGTGCGTGTCATTAATGGATAATGACTTTAAAAAGCAGCAATTCATTGTCCAAAATAAGAGACAAGTTGATCTATATAATGTTAATAATAATACTTTGTTTTTAATGCTAAATATTTTGTTAACATAGAAAATAATTATTAAAAACTCTGCATGTAAGGAAAATACATTTTAGAAACTTGTTGGTTTGTTAATTATATTTGAGGGAGAATGCCTCGTTTCCTCTTAACATTTACCTTAGAAATCTTATAAATAGACTTTGTCTTTGT